TCTGTGACAAACAAACAGCTTTATTTTAATAAACATTAATTTAAATAATACTACGGTATGCACTGAGCATTAGTTAACCCCAAAGAAAAGAAAAAGATCTTAAGACAAGTTTTTTTCCTTAAATGAAGATGGAGCTAACTGTGAATCTCTTTTTTATTCTTTCTCTCCCATAGATACAATATAGGTATAAATAAAAATATATTGAATTCCACACAGCCTCAGCCATATTACAAGAAAAATGTAGTCTTTTGTGATCACAATGCAAAGAATCAAAAGCCTGAGCAATCCTTAAATTACTTATCCATTGAAGAACTGAGGTGCAAATATATTCAAGCATTTTAGGCATGCTTATTAGGCAGGAAGGACTGTGAGGGCAGGCACACACAGTATGACTGCCTTTCAAAGAATTTGAAAGTAATCCTCTGGAGGGCTTAAATTTGAATCCAGCATAAAAGTTCCACACAGTCACAGCATTCCTAATTTGCTAGATGTTTTCAAGGATAGAAATGTTACTTCTTTCTGTCCTTTTCCTGTTTCTTTTTAAACATTCCTTTGAAATGAAAATTGGGTGTGACACTTCCAAAACTGTGGGTGTTTGGGCATATTTTGAGAAGAAGCAAGCTATTTATTAAACATGTATAAATATTCATGTCTTCCTTCCAGGAATCATGACTGTCTGCAGCCTCCTCTCCCTACCTCCAGAAATCTCCTTCAAGGGAGAATAGCTAGGAGCAACAGCAGTGTTTTTAAGAGAGGTGTAGAGGCTGGCTGGGGAATTCTGGGAGTAGAAATTCTCACATCTTAAAAGCAGTGGAGGTTGAAAAGCACTGTTATAAACAATGATCAAATGCCCATAGCTTTTACTAGTATTCACATGCTGTTGTGTGGAGAGGCTTGTCAATGATTGGAGGGACAAGTGTTATGAAATGTTTAATTCATGATAGTGGGTATGTCACAAATATCCTTTTTGAAGAGGCCTGTTAACAGATGAGAAAATGCCAAAAGAAATGCAATAAAAATGAAAACTGTGATGAAAAGTTTTAAGTCTTCCTAAGCTAGGGGTGTCAAACTTGAAGCCTGCAGACCAGATGCGTCATGTGCTAGCCACTCCCACCCCCGGCTTAGCGAAGGGGGAAAAATCTGCAATACATCACGTGATGATGTGTTGTATGAGTTTGACACCCCTATCCTAAGCTGAAGAGATAATTACTGTATTTTTCTGACTATAAGACACACTTTTTTGTCTCCCAAAAGGGGGTGAAAATTTCTGTGTGTCTTATAGACTGAATATTGCTGAAGCCACGCCCACCAGCTGGCTATTTTTGGGCCTCTGCATGCCCTGTTTTCAGGCCTATTTTGGCCTTTTTCAGCCCGTTTTTGACACTTTTTTGGCCCATTTTTTTTTAAACCAGGCTGAAAAAAGCCTCAAAAATGGGCCAAAAAAAGCTTCGAAAATGGTAGAAAAAACACTTGGAAAGGGTCAAAAAACCCCAAAGAAGGGGTGAAAAAGGGGCTCACCGAGGCCAAACCCATTTTTTGTTGTTCTCCTCTTCTAAATTTGGGTGCGTCTTATAGTCGGGTGCGTCTTATAATCCAAAAAAATACATTAAGAGATTGTCTGGATGTCAAGAAGATTGACTCAGCTTTCCATCCTTCTGAGGTCTGTAAAATGAGGACCCAGATTGTTGGGGGCAATATACTGATATTGTAAACCACCCAGAGAGTGCTGTAAAACATTATGGGGTGGTATATAAATATAAGTGCTATTTGCTCATGAAATTTGCCCACAAAAGAATAGGAGGAAAAGGATTACATAAACTGAGCAGAACTAAGCAAGCAAGTTTCTTGTGTCTTATTATGGAGTGAGAAGAAATCATAAAACAGGTGTAAGCTGTTATTTCTTCCATTATACTATGGCTACTAAATACTGACCCCAATTCCCTATCTTTTGAAGTGTAAAACGTATCTCTGGATTTTGGTGTTACTGATCAGAGCAGAATAAGAGTTTTATTCTTATAGTTTGAGACAGAGTTTGTCATAAATTTGAATTATGCCAATATGCGTAAAATGCGTTTGAGATTATTACACTAAAACTGTATTTGGAAACAGCTGATAAGGAGATTTAGTCAAGTGTCATACAGCATTGCAGTTTAAAAAAATGAACTCAGCAATTTAGTGATTGCAGTAAATGCATGGGCTCCCTTCCAAACCTTGAGGACTGCATCAATTGCCAAGCTCAAAGGCAGGAAGTGCAGATGTATGAGTGCTCAAACACCCACAATGTTTGACAGACACGTTATACACTTTTCTGAGAACCAGTTGATCTGGAAAGGGTCAGCAGCTGTTTTCTGATGGTAAACACATAATGCTAATCTGTGGGCTGGTGAGAAACTCCCAAAGCTCGTCTCTGCATTTTTTGGGGGCAATAATCCCCTTTGGAGGTTTATTGCCAAACATCTTATGATGATGTTTGTGGATGTAGTGGAAGCCAGGATGGTTTGTGCAAGAATTAAAAAGTATAGAGAGATAAGGAGTGTGCAATTGATGTAAACTAGATTTAGTTACACTTGCTCTGTCCCTGGTATATGACTTTATTTCCTACAGTTTCTTTCTTTCTCTATGCATTGCATAACATCATTTAGTTTCTAAAGTAACAGCTTTATGCATATATAATAAGTAATATATAACTGAATATTTGAAAATCAATCTATTGCAAGTTTGCAAAGGGAATGAAGGAAAAAAATAACTTAAAATCTGAAACAAAATTCAAATTCAAATCTATTTTGGGGGTAGGGAGATTAGATATGCCATGAATTGCATGCCATATACTGCATTTGGGTAGAAAATAATCAAAGAAAAGCAAATTAAACTTTCGGAGTGAAGTAGAGGGCAATGTCAGTGGAACAAAATAAGAATGGAATTTTGAAACAAAGTTGAAAAACTTTTACATTGAAGACAAAATCTGAAATATGCCAAAAAAGATTAGTATTTTTGCAAATGAAGTAATTTATGAAAACTAATACAGTAGTACTGGAACAGCCACCAAATTTTTAGACCCTGAGTTAATAGCTTCACTAGGCCCTCTTTACCTAATCATGTGTATTATTTCAAATGTGAAATACCCAATTAACATAATTCTCCCCTTTCCTTGCCAATCCGTGTTTTATAACCAAACCAAAACACCTACTTCCCATCAGCGATGAAAAAAACCCTAGGCACATTGTTTCTCATTTTAAAATCTCTTTAATTATGGCACCATTATTATTATCCCTAGTAGGAAAAAAAAAGGGGGGGGGGCGAATTGCTTCTGCTGCTCTGACCCTAAATACATTTACATTGTTTTGTGGAAAAGGATGATTGCTTTGTTGTAGAAAAGGATAATAGATTCATAAGCAAAATTAATAAAAAGAGCATCTGCTATTGGACATGTCTGGCTACTTGCAGACTCTACTTTTTTTTTTAATGAGAAAGGATGGAGTGGCAAAGCACACCTCTCTTCAGTCGATATGCACAGCCCAGTGGTTTACATCTTTCATGGCCACTTTTCTGATCTGTGTCAGAGCTTGGTTCCATAGTTCACACTTCATTGTGTAGCTTTCACACTACACTGTGTAAGTGCAGTCAAATTTACCACTACCATTACATCTAATATGCAGAGAATAGAGAAATTTGTATAATATGCACTGTGTTAGAAAACTCTGGCTCAGACACCTGATAATCTGAACATGTTGTTCACCAGTAAAAACAATTTTCAGGCTATCCCTTTAGGGAAAGTGAAGAAGCAGCTTAGGGTGGCAGATGTCAGAAGCAGAGCTCATTTAATCATGGTAATACCCATAATAAAATACACACAGGGAGTCTAAGTAGTTTGTACAAAAAAAGACAAAATTTCTAAAACATGAGTGTTGGAAGTAATTTTCCAGATTGTTTTCATGGAATATCTGTTTTAGCGGAATATACTTCCTACATGGGAAAGGAGCAGCAGCAGACTCTGGGTTCTGTATTTGCATAATGTAACCTCCTTTTTTAAAATCTATCCATACTTAAGGATGTCCACAGCTGCTTAATTTATGTCCAATAGACATATTAATGCACTGACTGAAAGTCAAATAGAAAAATCACTGGAAAGGCCTGACCTAAATCAGTTTTGTTGTTTTAAAATCTGGGTAAGTATGTATTTCAGTTTTAAAAGAAAGGTGTTGATTCTTGCTGATAATTTTCCATTTTCTCAACACCTCAGAGTGATTTGTTATCACACTATGGTATACATTATTAACGCTTTAAAAGTAACACCTTCATGAGCATATTTTATATAGAAACTCATTCTCTCAAAATATTCCAGCTGGATGCCATCTTCTAACCTGTTAAACTCTCCTTTTATAAAATGTAAATATAATGTACACTTTCGTTTGAGGTTGTTTAAAAATTCTGGAAATTTAATGTTACCTTCCCTTTAAAAGAAAAAGCCCAAAATTTATTCAACAATCTCCTTTTGATAAATCCGTGTCCTTTAACACACACACACACACACACACAATTATAAATTATAGCAAAAGGATATTAAAAGTTTTGTTGTACTCAAAGTTAGATTTTCTGCTTAAATATGTACTGATTTCCATTCACTTAAAAAAAAAAGATTCCATCCAATAATCTGAAAACACGAATTTCCTGATTAGCAGTTTTAGAATCTGCTTTAAGCCCACGTTGCATGGAGGGAACACGAAGAAACTTTTCACGAATGAATGGAGCAGCGCCATTTTGAGCTCACCGCTCAGAAAAACTACATTTCCCAGCATGCTCAGGAAAGGCGTTCGCGCCATCTTGTCGCCTTCCTTGCCCTATTGCTGGAGGCGGCAGTGGAAGTAATCGTTCTGGAGGTTTTTCGCGGCCTGCTGTGATGGCTCTTTTTCCTGCTTTTGCCGATGCTGCTAATGCCGAGGACGTACAAGCAAACGAAGGCTCGAACAGAGGTAATGACGTTGCTCTTATTTAAGTCCCTCAGTAACAAACGGGCAAAAAAGCCCTTCTTCGTTTAAACCATGTTTTGGTTTTCCTTCCGGACGCTTGTTTCTACAGATGCCCGTTGCAGAGACGCAGCGTTTTCCAAAGCAGGTCTTCCGAGTAGATGGAAATACAACTCCCAGAATTCCTCCCCGCTGAGCCACGCTCGGGACGATTTCTGGGAGGTGTAGTCCCAACGCTTCTGGAGCCCTCTGCCTGACAAATCCTTGGTGTGTGCAAAAAAAGTTCTGAAACTATTCATTGGCAGTAAAGCATATTGACGTATTGAAAGTTACAATTAACTGGATCTGTTAACAAAGCTGACTCTAAATGGGCAGATACAGATACTATATTGTTGTTGTTGTTATTGTTACTATCATTGCACAACATATGTGCAATGAGATACACCACTCTTTCCCTGTTAAGGTGACAGAAAGGATCTGGCTGAACAGAAAACATGCAACACACACTTTATATTCCACAGTCTTCGTGGTTGCCCTTATAAAAGAGTCACACGGTGAGAATTCTAAAAAATCCAGATGCCCAATTTCCACATACTTTTGGATCCAGAGGGGGCTTTTTGAGAAATGGGTGCACTGCTGCTTCCTTGAAGATTGCTGGCTGCATTTCCTCTCACAGTGAGGCAATAACAGCTTACAGATTCGGGAAACCATCTCCCTATCCCAGCTGCATGAAGGAGCCCGGAAGGACAGGGTTCCTGTTCATAAGTCATAGAGGACATCCTACAAGTTCCCTTAAGAAATCCCTGGTGACTAAGCAGGAAGATATCCTAGTCGCTCTTGCAGCCAGATCTCATGTAATACAAGGCAAGCATACTAACATTGAGACTGTAAGGGATTTGCAGGAAGATGCATGTCATAAGCAAGAAGCAGTACTGTGCAGAGCAGCATCACTTTTTCTCCACAGACTTTGGGCTTCTTTATTTCTCTTTTGGCTGTCAGATACAAAAGCTCCAATAGCCAGATTCATGAATGGACATGAGTGAATATCATCTTATTGCAGGCTGAAAAACATATTTAGAGTTGCTGCCTGCCTTTGGTAAATTGTAGCCTCACTAATCAGTGCTGAAACAAATTAGCATTTAAGAGGCAAAGGAACATTTAAAAAACCACCCATAACTAAAAAAAAAACCTCCAAATGACAGTTTTATTGTATATTTATTTACTGTCTTTCTTCTCAATCTTTAGATTTAAACTGGCTGACAAATCAAAGCTTCTGCAATGAAGATGCACTGAGATTGCACCAAAATGTTTTAGAAATTACCCACTGTGCTTCTCCTCTCCAAAGGTAGTATAAGACCTTTAGCTTTGTTGTTCATAATGTACTTTTAAAACAGAAAAGTAGGGGAAGCTTTATATTTCAGTTTGGTTTGGTTTCTTATATATTAATACATTTACGTTTATTAGGATTTGTATGCCGTCCACTCTCGAGAGACTCAGACTAATATCATCTGTGGGGGAGGGGAGAGTTGCACATCATGTGGGTCAGTCTGAGAAAAGCAGGATTGTGACAGTTGATGAAAGTGGCAGGAGCCTGAAGATGCCCATGCTTATATAATTGCTATAGCATTCTGTATTTATGCACACTAAATCACAAAGACTATTGTTTAAAATTTTCTCCTTCCTTTAAATAAGATAAGTTCTAATTCTTTGTGAAGATGGAACAGTATGATCATTTGTCATTGCTGTTCAGATTAATGTTTTTTACTCTTAAAATTAACTCTTTAATTTCATTTTTTGGATACAAAATCTTTGTATCTTTGTTCCAGAGATGAGACATTTTAGAAGATTAGTGGTTGGGATAATTGGATTTCAGGTCTCTCAAACTAGAACATACCTGTTTGTCAAAGACAGGCAAATACATGATTTTATCGCTTTGTAAGAAAAATATGACATGTAAACTAGCTGTGAACTTTATAAATGCAGCCTAAATGTTCATATTTAACTTGTTCTGTGTTTGGAAAAACAGAACTTTAAAGTATGTTGTATAATCTGTGCCATAAAATGTGATTTTATCTGTTTTATAAGCAATACAGCCACCAGTTTTGAACTCCCTGCAGAAAATGAAACCAACAAAAGTTTTCAAGTGTCACCTAAAAAAAGAAAGAAAAAGAAAAAGCAACAAGATCACAAGAAAAAGAAAAAGAAAAGAAGAAAAGCATGGACCACCAGTGGGTCTGAATCTGAGGATGGGAGAGATGATAGAAATAATGAAAAAAGAGGAACAGAATTAAAGTACGTAAGTACATTTCATTTCTGAACTTGCATTTCTCGTAGATCCAGTCATTTCTTCCTTTTTGTGAATAGGATTAGTGAGAAAGGTAGTTCAGATTTGAGAATAATTCATACATATTTTTGCTATTTTGAGTTTGGTGCAACTTATTTCCAAATAAATGTGTACAGGATTGTGCTTCAAATCAATGAGAATTAACAACTAAGGATGCATTAAAAATTAGGATGTCTCCTATCCTTTCTTTTAGGGACAAAAAGACACAAGTCGACTGCAGTGTAATTTGTATGGTCATCATATTAGAAGTGTCTCTCTGAGAAGAAAATAAATGGAAAAAAGTAGTGGTTTGTTGGATTGATGGGCAGGTAGATGAACAGGGATTGTAATGGAGTCAAAGTAAAAGGCAGTTTGTTTTGTTATTAGATGTATACCAAGTCTTTCATCTGGGAATTCAAGGCATTACACAGGGTCAATCTATTGCTTTTTGTCACCAAAATAACAGCTTTGTAAAGTAAAATAGACTGAGAGAGAGTAGCTGGCTTGAAGCCAGATAGTGAACTCAACAGTCAAGGTAGCCTCCCTAATCTATAATAACTTTTATGTGGAGATACAAGTCCTGTTGGAGTTTGGAATTACTTGAATGGGAAAGAAAGAATGCAGATTTAAATGGGGTCAGTACACTCTTTTCAATATTTGGAGATGCTAGCAATGTCTGTCCTCTGTTCAAAATGTGGAACTTGGGGTTATTTTACGCCTTATTTCTTATTGCCATTGTGATATGAATAACAAATAGACATAATGCATTATTAGAAACTGACTAGACTGTCAAGATCAAGCTGTAATGATAGCCATTTAAATTAAGTGTATGCTGTATTATTAATGTTTAGAATAACTGGCAGCCAGTCTCTGTACTACTGAAATCAATGAGTAATTGGCTGTAAATTTTTGAGAAGCTGTAATTTGACTAATGTTAATTAATCATTCATTCAGGCTTTGGAATGAAGCACTATTATAATACTAAGTTATATTCTGTGAATAATAATTTTGGGTTATTCACATTTTTTATGGTTATTCATATTGGGCAGAAATTCGTCATTGTCACAAGCAATAGAACTAAATATTAGAACCTGGCATTTATCGCCTTCAAAATCTGAATTCCAGGTTGGAATTTTAAGAAACAATTTTATCTTCTTTTGCTAACCAGAAATATGTACAAATGTCTATTAGCATGTCTTAAATTCCCTTGCAAACTATTCAGATTAATATGAGCTGGAGCAGAGAAAGTTTCTCAATAGATAATTTTGAACTTTTTAATGTATTAATTTAGCACTCATTTTAGAAGTTCAGTAATTTGGATGATCTTTAACCTGCCTTTCTTTTCAAATCCTTTTTCTGTAAATGTACTATTAATATTTTGAAACAGCTTTCGGCACAATATTGGGAATGATTTCAAAAGAAAACCAATACTAGCTTTCCATCAGTCATTTTATTCACGTTAAATAATTGTAGATATCAAGGTAATATCTCATGTTAATATTTTTGTCTTTTAGCTTTGTGATCCTTTTGTAATACTATATTGAATTGTCTCTTGTATTTCTTAGCTCTTGTTAATAACTGATTATTAATAAAATATCAGAACTGTCCTTCTGCAGTTAGATGCTTCCCCCACAAAAATAATATATACTTATGGCTCTAGAAATATAATAACTCATAAATAAAACACAGGGCGCCTGAAAATGCTAAGCCCCAATACTGTTTTAAATAATAGCGGAGGAAAAGTAATTATGTTTGCAGCACCTCAATGCAAATCCAGCTAATTCTAAAAGAGGAAATAATGTAATAGTAAAGAAAATACTTTACATATTGAATGAATTGATTCAGGATCCTACCTCTATTAAGTTGAGGCACACTCCATTGAAACTGATGTGGATTTTTTCTCAGCAGATACTGATAAATCCTACTGATGACATGGTAAATTTTCACTTCATTCAGTATTTGGCTTTTCTTTCCCTTTTTCATACATATTAAGGGATAAGAGGAAGCCTAAATTTTAGTTGGTTTAAAATATATTGCTTACATTTTTGTTTTAGATTTGATTTGATTTGTACTAGAGGTAGTCCTTGACTTACGACCACAATTGACCCCCAAATTTCTGTTGCTAGACTAATCAGATGTTAAGTGAGCTTTGCCTCATTTTACAATCTTTCTTGCAATGGGGGTTAAGTGAATCACTGCAGTTGTTAAATTGATAGCACGATTATTAAGTGAATCTAGTTTCCCATTGACTGTTGCTTTGTCAGAAGATGGCAACATGTGATCACATGACCCTGGGAGACTGCATTCATCATAAATACATGCAAGTTGCCAAGCGGTTGAATTTTGATCATGTGATCCTAAGGGATGCTTCAAGAGTCGGAAGTGTGAAAAGTAGTCATGCCACTTCTTTCAGTGCCGTTGTAATTTTGAATGGTCATTAAACAAATGTTGTAAGCCAAGGACTACCTGTACTTATTTTCCCCTTCCCTTATTTTTAAATTTATATTTGCAGCTTAGAAGAAAAAACCACAAATGTGCCCTATTCTTCTACTTGGCTTGATGACATTCAGGGCTTGACAACAGAAGGATTCAGAACAGATAAGAAGCCAGACCCTGCAAATTGGCAATATAAATCGTTATATCGAGGCAACATTGCAAGGTAATCAATCTGGGAGCAGTAACAGTTTAGATAATATTATTGAGAGTAAAATATAACTTCAGAATACTAATAATCTCCGGTTCAGGAAGAACTCGGGGCATCTTCTTTTATGCAATTTGTAGAAGGCTGAGCGATATTCTCTTCCTTTAGTCCCTCCCTCCCTCATTTTGGCTAGATGTGAGAACAAACAGCCCGTGGGCCCTACTCAATTTTGTGAAAGGAAGCAGCTCCATGATCTGGAAGTGAGAGGGGAAGTTAGGATTTGGGAGTTTGCTGTGTAGTCACAATAGTACTTGACTGTAATATCTTTAGGTGCCTTGTCCTGTTTGGTATTGATATTTAACTGACTGCAGAATTAAAAATCAAAGCTAAGCTGATGAGCGTGCGGATGTTTTAAAAAAAGATTGTCCTTTATTTAAAAAAAAATGTACATCTTTTCTTTTAATAGGCAACTCGTCTTGCACATAACAGGATCCCCTGAGAATCTTTCCACATTTATAATAGGTCGTAAAAATGTTTTGAAGCCTGTTGTCACAGGAAAAGACATTTGCTTTTTAGTGCCATAATTCTGCCCAGTGAGTTCATTTACTAATCACCACCTGAGTCCTAATTTAATAAGTTCCGACTCTGCAGAGCCAACAGTCGAATGGATTTGCACCTGGCCATTCTAGCAACACAGTTGACTTGCCTAAGTCTCACATCGGAGAGAGTTCAGTGTTTGCATCTGGGAATCCTCTGTTGTTGATTGTTCAGCAGCATTTGGCAACTTTCTCACCCAGCCTTGTCCTGTTTTCCCTCCCTCACCTAATGTGCAGCAGAGTAGGATTCCTGCTTTTTAATAGTGGGAAGGTGAACAGTGGACAAGAAAATTGCCCTGAAAAAATTGGTCATCAGACTTCCAGTTTGTGACCCGGCAACCAACCTGGCAGTGTGATGGAATGTGCATCTGTAGGAGCAGTGGGGGAAAGTTTGGCAACACAAGAGTTTTTCCAAAAAGAAGCCTAAATTAAGAGACTGTGCAATCCTGATCTGGAGGGAGTAAGAGGTTCAGAGTAGTCATCCCCCAGAATCTCTCAGATATCTCCTCATCCTCCAGTAGATTAAAAAGTTTTAACTTTAGTTTGGCAAAATTCAGCCCATTAGATAAAAGCAAACATAGGATTGAGCTCATTTAAATCTCAGAGTCTTGTCTTGCACCTGACAAGAGGTTGTTCAGTTTATAGATATGGTATCCATTTGTAACATTTTAAAAATAATTTTGGAGTTTGAAAATATGCCATTATTCTGCACTACGTTAAGAACAGCTCATATACATTGCCTTGTGCTTTTGGTGCTTTCCATACATAACGAACTTACTTCTTTTTAAAGGTAAAAATAAGTGATATTTCCTTGCTTCTAAGTAGAAAAGGCAAGGCATAAATTGAAATAATCGATAAATTCATTTTAATAAGGGATCCTAGATAATTACAAAAATCAAAAGCTGCCTACTAACGATTAACCCTGAGATTTTGGTTTCTGAGGTGGCAGTCCTGCTGATGTTTGCCATTTGAGGAGCAGTGCAGAATGTGTAGCAGTTGCTTTCCTACTTCATGGTTTGGTTATGGTGAATATCTAACGTCCTACGGGTCAGTAGTCTCTGGGAAGGTTCAGAGAGTTTGTGGGGGAAAATATTCCAGAACAAAATCTTAAAAGTTACAGTGATTAGGGTCTGAGAAAGACTTTTCTCCCTCTATTGCCTTGGGAATAGTCCGTTTTAATTATTGCTTTTAAAGGTATAGGAGACGAAGCAACTTCTGCCTTGGCCTTCAACCTAAGGAGCAACATATTATTTGGGAGAGCTCAGCAGTAGAAAAACCATCTTCCTATAAGCGACCAGAACGCTACTTCACAAAAGGTGGTCAGAAACTCCTGAACGAAGCAGGCATTCATGTCAGTGGTAAAAATCAGGACTCCTCATCTGGCTCAGCCTCCTGGATACCAATTTTGCAACTAGATCCAGCAGAGGCTCCTTCTACAAGCTGGGTAAACCCTCTTGGGGTTTATGATCTGCAGACCACGCTCTGGCTACAAGGAAAAGGGCCCTCTGCTGAACATGGCTCACTAAATAAGCAAGACCCTCAAGAGAACCCCCAAAATGTAGACTCCCTTCTAATGGCAAAGGTGGAAGAATATAACTGCAAAGTCAGAGAGAATCCCAGAGATGTCAAAGCATGGATGGATTTGGTTTCTTTTCAGGTAGGCATGTCTGTACTAACAATTAAGGTTGTATCTTTTCTTTTATGTACACTGAGAGCATATGCACTAAAGACAAATTCTTTGTGTGTCCAATCACACTTGCCCAATAAAGAATTCTATCTATTCTATCTACCATATTTTTTGGAGTATTAGATGCTCCAGAGTATAAGACGCACATTAGAAAATAAGAAAAACAATTCTACCTCTGCCTTCCAGCATCCATGGTATTCAACTGACTCATGGTAACAAGGTCAGCCAATGAATAGGCATAGCAACTAAGTCAGCCAATGAGGGCTATTTGGACTCTGAAATTTGCTGTGTGAGCAACAAGGAAACAGGAAGGAGCCTGGCTTAGCCAAGAATTGAAAGTGAAACTGCTTGTGTTTTGCTTGTGTTTACTGCTATCTTGGAAAACCTGCTTTTGTTAATGTATTATATATTATTATTTTGAATCCTGCTGAATCAGTTACTGTGCTTTCTGAATGTGATTGCTGCTGCAAACTCTGACCAGCCAGGTCAGCTTCAGCACTTACTGCAGCCTGATTCAGCACAGCTAATTGGCAGGTGGATCGGACTGCCGGAATACCCCCAATCAGCTGTTCCAGGCTGCAGGGGTTGTCACAGACCATTGCTGCCTCCATGCCTCGCATTTTTGGCCTCTGGTGGGGCTGGGTGGGCTACATTTGGTGTACAAGACACACCCAAATTTTCATCCTCATTTTGGGAGGGAAAAGGTGCGCCTTATACTCTGAAAAATAAGGTATCGATCTAATGTAAAGTTATGACAAAAGGTGATTATTTTAGAGGTGCAGATTGGATTTTGGAGTATTCTCTGCCTACTTGAGTTGAAAGCCCCTTTCCCCCTAATTCTGCAGATTTCCCTTCTATTTTTTAGAAGACCGGGCCTCAGAAATTGGTAGGTGCTTAGTATGTTGTCAGTGCAATTTTCTACCACTTCCTGCACTGCTTTGCCACTCTTATCTTCTGTGAAAAGAAGAGGATACAAATAGTCCCAAAGGTGCTTTTTCAAGAGGCAACTTGAAAACCTGCTTGTTTTCCTTTGGAGACGTTTCTCTTCTCATCCAAGAAGCTTCTTCAGCTCTGACTGGATGGTGGGAGATGGAAGGATTGGAAGCGGAGAATCCAGTCGATCCAGTCAGAGCTGAAGAAGTTTCTTGGATGAGAAGAGAAATGTCTCCAAAGGAAAACAAGCAGGTTTTTCAAGTTGCCTCTTGAAAAAGCACCTTTGGGACAACCATGACCTGGATGACTGAGAATCTCCATAGATACAAGTAGTCATCACTTACCAATCACTCCTTCAGTAACTGTTCAAAGTTGTGATGGTGCTGCTGAATCAGTGTTCTTCAAAGTTTCATTCATCACTGTATCCCCATAGTGACATGATTGTGATTCAGATACTTGGCAACCGGTTTTCACTTATGAGAATTGCAATGTCCCACAGTTTGCAATCTTCCCTGCCAGTTTTCCACAAGCAAAGTCAATGGAGAGGTGGCTGGGAAGGTTGTAAGTCATTCTGATAAGACCTCCCAGCCATTCTGCACTCACAGTTTCCATACTGTCCACCCTCAGCCTGCACTCATGTCACCACAGACCAGGCTATCTGTCCCCTGGCTTTCCTGTGCTTACTCCTGCAATTGGGACTCTCCCACCTCCCTGAAACACTTTGCAACAATTCTGTGCTCCTTACCTGAGACTCCCACTGCTTCCTACTTAACAGCTCACTTGTCTTGGGATTATAATAGCAACTGGGATTGCCAGGGTTGTTGTTGCTAAGCGATGCGGTCACATGACATGTTTAAGAACCCCATCGCTTAGTGACAGTAATCCCACACCCAATTGTCATTGTAACCCAAGGACTCCCTGTATGAAGAAACTTTAATGTAAAATTAATAAGCTCCAGATATTTATTTGTTTGTCTGTTTGTTTTGTCAAGCGTGTATACGATAATAGATATAGGTACATACAAGATTATGAATACATGAAATGGATAAAAATAAATGGGGTTGTTAGGACAGGGACGGAAGGCACGTTGGTGCGCTTATGCACCCCCCTTACAGACCTCTTAGGAATGGGGTGAGGTCAACAGTGGACAGTCTGAGGTTAAAGTTGTGGGGGTTTGGGGAAGAAACCACTGAGTCAGGTAACGCATTCCAGGCATTGACCACTCTATTGCTGATATATTTCTTTAAAAGTCAAATGGCCTCTTGGAATGTAACTAAGAGAACCAGAATTGAATTGGAAGGAGGAGATTAAGCAGGCCTGTGCACGTGCCTTGGCTGTTGATTTCACTTCCTCCAGTACCCAATTCAAATTTAATAGTTGGATTGGCTGTGGGTTTTTCTAAAGGACACACAGTTCTATTTCCATTTTATTTAAAATGTCTTATATTCTTTTTTGTTGTTGTTGCTTTTATTTTTAAGGATGAGCTCATGAGACATCCTAGCTGTTATGCCATCAGTGAGGGAGAACGGGAAAAGAGAAAGAAATCATCCAAGTTAATACTGGAGAAGAAACTGGCTATTTTGGAAAGAGCAATAGAAAACAACCCAAATGAAGTGGACCTGAAACTAGCACGGCTAAAACTTTGCCTAGAGTTCTGGGAGCCATCTGCTGTGGTGAAGGAATGGCAAAAGTTGATTTTCTTGCACCCAAACAACCCAGCCCTGTGGCAGAAATATCTCTTATTCTGCCAGAGTCAGTTCAGTACCTTTACTGTCTCCAAAACACATGGCTGCTACGGAAAATGCCTGAGCACATTATCAGCTGTGAATGATGGCAGTATGGTATCCCATCCTGCGCTGCCAGGCACAGAGGAAGCCATGCTAGGTAAGAGGGCATCTGAGCTTCTTCGGCCTTTTACAAGACCAATCCTCTCTCCTGTCATGACACGTTTGGGTCTTTGGGGACTTGTGTTTACTTATGAGGCATGAAGATGAACCCGAAGAATAGATCTAATCTCAGGTTTTGGTTTGCATAGATCATGGTTGGTTCTCATTGGCTGCTTTGGGGGTCCAATTTCCTCTCTTCTTTTTTGCTTGATTTGTGACCCTTTTATAAATCCAGGTGTTTTTGTAGATATTTCTACAGCTGACAGAAACTTTACTTACGAAACTCAGGACTCAATCAAAAACATATTTTCCAATATGAAGGATAGTGGGAGAAAATGTGAAAAACATAAATTAAAAAAAATGTTTTGAATCATAGTCAAATGGTCCTTTTGATCTAAAAGTCCGCTGCAGTTGCTTTTTCCACACAGATCTCAGGTAATTTCTTTAGAGAGACTTTAATACATGACATTTCTCTGCTGTATTGTGGGATCACTAATTATGATCTTGCCTTGGCGGAAATCCTTAAATAAGCCTGCCTGCTCAGCTGGAAGAGTTGTTCCCCTGAATCCTGCAGACTCTTCCTTTGTTCTAGCCTTCCAGTCTGGCAGTTGGACTGTAAGACTCAAATCTCTTCACAGCATCGCTATTTGCCAAGCTGGTTAGTAGTTGTGGGAATTCATTCTTCGTATATGGAAGATGCTATGTTGGGGAAGGTTGGGCTTATTATATATTTAAAGCATAAACCCACTAGAAGCCAGGGGCCCCTCTGTTGGAGTTTGTTGACCTTGGACTAGAGTGTTGGACTACAGTTCCAATCACCCTCCGTATTCCCGGTGCTGTATTAGCTGGAGTTGACAAGAGTTATGGTGTAATAGCTCCTGGAGGCCTCACATCAGGGAAGCTGGGCTGGCTATTTTTGATATCAGTGAACATAGTTGAAAGATGAGCTTGTTGTTAGGTTAGCAGCAGTATTTAAAAATACTTTCAGGTACCCAATTGAATCCTTTCTTCTGTGAATTTTATTTCTTTTGGAGAACCACATTGGGTTCAATCTGAACAATATTTGCCAGAACTGGAGTAAATTAATTTTGACAGAGTATTAAAGTTGGTAGACATTCCCAGATGGGAAAGAAAAAATACTATTGGGTGCCAGACTTAATGAGGGCTCCTTTTTAAATTGTGCCTCTAATGAGGAGTAGCTCTCCCCTGACGTTCTCATTTACTGATTAAGAATATTGAGGATTTGTCAGTCTTACATGTTGTTGTTTTTTAAAAAAATCTTGTTTAAAAAGATATATCAGACTTTAAATGAGAGTCTTTGAACAGGAGATGAGGAAGAAAGTTACACTGAAGGCTTCTGCCACTTAGTGGTTATTCCTTTTATTGCCCGACAGAGTGACAACCTGTCAGAAAGGAACACAGTGGAAGTTGGATGCTTCAGGAAGTGGTTTAGGTAGGGTCACTCTGAGTTGATCCAAATGTGTCTACCTGGCTTTATTGTCAGAAGACAAGGCTCACGGTCTCAATAACTCCATGACTTGACAGTTGCCTTGTATGCACATGGCCATGAGTGCAGTCCCACTCATTGTGTCATCTGGCTGAAACAACTTCTATCTTTGGGACCCATGAGGAGCTGCTACAACTTTGAATGAGTGAAAAAAATTGCCTGATATTCGTCTGTTACTAAGTTTATTTCAGCCATTTTTCTTCTTAATTTCTAACATAACAGACAAAAGGTTTTTTTTATGTTTTCAAATAAGTGACAATATTTTTTTAAAAAAGAAGTAGAAAATATGCCTAATGTGCAATTGGCTACACACCTACTGTATTCCAAAATATTCCTGGTTGCATTCATGAATTTGACCTCTGTTCTCAAAAATGTTACTTCTGTTTGGAGTTTTGCAAAACCTTGGAGCATTTAACTGACTGAACTGAAAGAAAACAATGATTAATCTTGGTTGGCAACATTGATTTCTTTTAAAAAGTATTACTTAAGGGGTTATATGTCTTCTTTTTTTTAATGTGGTTGCTGTAATTCAAACTCTGGGACTTGCTAATAGAGATGCGGTCATAAATAACAAAAAAAAAGAAAGAAAGAAATTGTCATCTGTATTTGAACTGCTGTTACATGAAATGTTGTTTCTTTTTCTCCCAAGCCATTTTTCTTCAGCAGTGCCATTTCCTTAGGCAGGCTGGGCATTCAGAAAAAGCTGTGTCCTTGTTCCAAGCCGTGCTTGACTTTACCTTTTTTAAACCAGATAATGTCAAGGACTTGCCAACAAGAGGACAGGTAAAAACTAGCCTCTCTCATTCTTTCCAGTTTCTCTTTCCCCAACTAACATACTTAAAACAAGCGAATAATCTGACAAATGTATGAACTCAGCTGATGATTTCTAATACCCAGAAGTCATGCTATTGCTTTGTTCTATTGTTTTGTCCACAAGTGTGTGTGTGTGTGTGAGTGAGAGAGAGAGAGAGAGAGAGAGACAGACAGACAGACAGACAGACAGAATACCTGCTTTCTGTAGTAAACTACTGATCTTGCTGAATGCCCTTAAGGGAGATATTAACTCTGATTTGCTCCTTGAACTAGAAAACATGTTAATCTTAAAAATACTTTAGGTTGTGTGCCACGGACTGTACGATCATGAATAGCATTGCTCAGTGAGTATTTCTGCACCCTGATCATCCTAAACCAAATGGACTTGCACCTTGCAAATGGGTTGTGCCCTATAGCTCAAGGATGTGAGAAAGAATGAGAATCTGCCTCTCACCAGCTTGGAGGATAGAGGCTTTGCTTAGCAATAAATAGCTTAATAAGTGAATGCTGTTTTGCAATTATTTTTTATGCATTTCAAAATTGCTTTATAGTTGTTTATAGTTTAAATGTCAACAAGGCTGAATTTCAAATATATTAGTGGTTGGCAGATTGTCAGCACCAACTTAGAACAATGAAATAAAGGCCAAACAAGAAATGTCACAAGGATGTATGACTTTAACTGTATTAATCCTTTGGTTTCTTTATTGGTTTTTATTGCTTGAGGTAAAGGGTGATTGAAGATTATACAAGTTAAGCAATTCTAAAATCATTTTTCAATCAGGAATTGATTCAAACCTTAAACTGGCTTCTAATCAGAATACCAGAGCACATAAAACTGCTTAATGCAAATTTCTATTTATGCCTTGGAACAGAATGTTTCTTGTATGCAAAGAGTATAAGTAGTAATGATGAGCTGAGGTGTCCCAAGTATATATCTTGTGTTAGCCATAAACTCATTGGCTTGGTTTGTTGAGCAACTAAGCAGTTTTTACTGTTATATGACAAGGCTCGGGCTTGCCATCCACAGAGAATGAGGGTCAGAAGCATCTGATTCTTTTTCTTTTTGGCCACACCATGATTTATCTTTACATCCAGAAATGGCAAGCTGTTCATTTATTAAAACATTCCAGGATCAGTGGTTGGTTTAATCCTATAAATCTGTAGGATAAATTTTATCAGGCATCCCAGTGCAGACATAAAGGCACATTTGATTGCTTTAATTCAAAATATGAGTGCTTCCAAATTCTGGTTCCCTTCTCAAGATTGCACTGTGAATGAAAAACACAGGAGTAATTTTGGACTACATGGCCCATTGCTCTAGTTATGTATTCACTTTTTATGGTTCAGCTGGGTGTACTGGATGATTTTAGGCAGTCTCACAACTAGAATTTTCATTTGCACTTTAAAATTGATATTTGAATAATCTTAAAAACCTACTTTTTCTTTAGCATTGTCCTTTTCTAATCCCCCCTCACCCCCTCAGCTTGGGTTAAAAACTGCTTTGTGTCAAAAAACAAATTGTATTTGTTTTTTACTTTTACTTCCAGTATTATACTTCCTTCAAAATAAAGAGCCTTCATCGTTTTTCTCTCTGCCAACAACTGAGATGAAATGCATGCTGGCTGGGGAATTCTGTATGTTCAAATCTAGAGGGCACCTAAATTAGAAAAGACTGATAGAGAAGTCATCAGTCTTTAAAATATCCTGGTCTTAGACCATCAAATTCTTTAAAGAACAGTGCTATACTGTCATTCTTCCTTTCCATTAATCCAGCGTTGGCCAAACTGACTAATAATTTGATTCCAGGATAAGTAGTGGTCATTAAGTTAGAGAAGGTATATATTCATTTAGATGTATTTATATTATTTTTATGTTTGTTTGTTTGTTTGTTTCCTACCTTTATTATTCTATTGTTTGTGTGACCTGTACTTTTATTTATATTTAGATTATTAAAAATAGCTGAGAACCAAATTAATTCAGAGGTTAAGGCACTAGACTAGAAAGCAGAAGACTGACTCTTACCTTAGGCATGATAGCAAGTTGAATGACTTTGGACTTGGGCTTGGGTAACAAAAACAAAAAAGCAGGCTGCATTTATGAGGAAAGAAAAATATAATATGTGTAGATATTAATCAAATAAATATTACTTTAGCACTCTTCCAGTTTTTGTGCAATTAGTCAATTGTTTAAGGCTATAGTGTGTACATATGGCTCGGGCAATTTTGAAGAAAAGGTTTTTTTAAAAAAAAGAAGTAATAAGAACATGTATGGCACCATTAGTCATCTTTGGAAGATATTTTCCCTAACTTTTTAAATAACTTGTTCTAAAACTTTATATTAAAAATCCCAACCATTCAATGGAATATTTAATGGGAGATATTATAAGGATATTTTAAAGCGATTAATGAATTTTGGAGTCTTTAAAATATTGCGATTGTAATTTCCTGTATTTATTCATTTTCCACCCCCAATTCCAGAGGGAATTCTTTGAACCCTTTTGGGACAGTGGAGAGCCTCGAGTTGGAGAAAAAGGAGCTAAAGGTTGGAAGGCCTGGATGCATCAACAAGAGAAGGGAGGCTGGGTGCTCATCAACCCACCTGGTAATTACTTTGCATTTCAGATCTGAGGAGCCAAGGCACATGATAAAGTCACACTCTTCTATTGTTTCTGGTTTGCCCAAAAGAAATAGATAATTTATGAAATGTCTGCACTGCCTCGGTCACGCTGGTATGATTCATTATGTCCGCAAGTTAGAACAGTGTTCTCAAGTTCTTTGCTTTCTGGATTTATGGAATTAGAAATCCCATTTTACATCAGCTAGTATAGACACTGTCTGGCTTACTGAAGAAGAATGGGAGTTGTACGTCAATATTTCTGTAGGCACTAGTTAAGTTAGGCTAAGCTGGAAAATAGTCATCTGCAATCATCTTGTTGAATCTAAGAAAAAATAAATTTTTTCAGTCCCAAAGGATGATTTCAAAAACAGAAGTGTTGCCCACATTTGTTTGTTTTTCAGTGTCCTTCTGATTTTAGTGAGGCTTGAAGTATGTAAATTGCTTTGAAAAGGCGGAAGGCCTTAGATTATAAAAGTGAACATAAAAGTTCTGGCACAATTAAACACTTTTAGCAATGACATTTATTCAGCTTGTAAATGACAGGTATATGAACATGTAGTTAGTTGGAGGACTAAGTTCCTTTGTTTTTTATCATTTATTTGGTGAAGGACAAAGTTCTCACTGATTATGAACAGTGAGCATTTGTTTTACTATGATATTGATTTTTTTTTTTTGTTCCTTTAAATCAGTGTTGACTCCTGGCAACTGCCTGGACAAATTACTGCAATTTTGTTGGCAAGATTTCAGAAGAGCTTTGCTATTGCCTGCTTCCTAGGGCCAAGTGAGAGAACTGGTTTTGTGCCTCAGTCGAGACTGGAACTCACAGTCTCCTGGTTTCTAGTCTGGTGCCTAAACACTAGAGCAAGGATGTCAAACTCGAGGTCCGCAGGCTGGATCTGTCCCATGGGGTGTTTAGATCTGGCCTGTGGGGCTGCCCTGGAAACAGTGGACTGGCCTGTAATGTTTCTGCCAGTGAAAACAGAGCTTGGGAGGGGCCCATGCTCTGTTTTCACTGGCAGAGGACTGCAGGAGAATCTCCCCAGCCCTGCCCAGACCACCACAGGTGCCCCTGACACGAGTGGCAAACTCACCATGCCCACTCTGGCCACGCTCCCTGGGCCCCCAAGGTCAAACACAACTCTGAGGCGGCCCTCAATGAAATTGAATTTGACAACCCTGCATTAGAGCAAACAGCACTTTAAAAAAAATCCTGAATTACTTCCCTTTATTTAAAAAAAAATCTGTAGAAATATTTTTGCTTTTTCTTGTCTTTCTTTTTTTAAAGCATGAAGTTTTTAAAGCATGAAGTTCAAAACTTTATTCTCCTCTAAGAATACTCTTCTTAATTAGGTAAACCTGTTTGCCCTGGCTTTATCATGCTCATTGTCCCTTTGGCATCATGTCTCTAAAAGGTGGTCATTCTATGGAAGTTTCAAGAACAAGGATGTTGAAGATTGAACTTGCATGCACCCTGATCCTTCTCAATCTTAGTTATTATGAGCAGTCGTGGCCATCTTACAATGAGTTTTTAAAATTTGTAATAAACTTTTTAGAACTTACATATCCAGCTGCAATTTTGAAAAATTCACAAATGCAATTTTTAAATAGATGAAGATGAGGAAGATGTAGAGGATGAAGAAGAAATAAAGGATAGATCTCTACCAAAGTGGCAAAACTGGCTTCATATTGAACGTTCCCGGGAAGCAAGACACTGGTTGCCCTGGCGTCCAGAAAAAAACAAGAAACCGCCGTTAGAAGATTGTGAAGATCCAGAGAGGCAGGTTGGTATGATGCAATGTGACCCATGTTTATTTTAAGAGAAGCTTTTTTTTATGGTGGACACACCTGAGACAAAGATGGAAGCTGACACTGAATGACTACTTACAACTGCTTCTAGGAAGATGTGGGCTGGGCAAATCTTCAAAAACACATGCCTTTCATGGAAAACGTGGTGTTATCAGCTCCCATATTTCAAAGTAAAAAATACAATGTATCTGCTCCATTCTATAAGTGCCTCGCTCATGTGTTTTTGGCTGATCAGCATACATCCAGATTTTGGAAGGATTGTGTATTTAGTGCTGATTTTGTTATTGTGTGCCAATTTGTTTCTGATTTCTTCTGATAAATGTTAGGTTCAGGCTGGTTTATGTTTAAAATATATTCCTTACAATAACAGTCCTTTTATTATTTTGTAGGTCTTATTTGATGACCTTGGACCATCATTGATAAGACTTTCCAGTCCTGAACTTCAGTTTCAACTATTCTCCTCATTTTTGCAATTCTTAGGAGTTCCATGCAGCTGTAGACTTTCGCCTTCTTCTTTCTATATCACGATGGATGAAAATAACTCATTTGGCAATGGGTGTAACAACCAAGGAATTCTGACTTCTCTGGATATGCCTCATTTTGGAGTCAGTAACATTGGTCATATGGACTCAATGGTCCAAGGAGAGAAGCATGTGACTCACTCTAAGGAAGGAGAGCAATTTATTCAGAATCTTTTCCATATGATGCTGCCCTTATTTTCAGGCAAAGACAGATCTAACCTATGCATTTTTTGGCTTCAATATGAAATTGCTAAGGTAATGTTCTTTCTCTTATCTTATACAGATAGTTGATCAAATATATACATTATATCCACAAATCTGTTTCTAAAGTTGACAGTTCTGGATAGAAAAGGATATCCAATATAACTTAATATTCAACATTTCAGTCTGTGACATAACGCATACTAAGGTGGGTTGTGACTGGGATGTTCTGGATGCGGGTTTAGACTAATGATGAATGCAAAGGTTGTGTAGAAAAGGTTGTGGTTCCCAACCTTTGTGGCTTGGTGGCCTGGCTGGCTGGGAGGAGGGAAAGTAGGCCGCATGAGCAGCTGGTGTGCACAGAAGAGAGCAGAGAAGCCTTTGGAGCGCAGCTGATCCACTCAGACTTATCCGTGCAAACACATTTTGCAAAGGCAAGGAAGGTCTGAAGCAGTGCAAAATTGCTCCCCCAAAACCTTTTGTCTGTTTGCAAAAGCTTTTGGTGTGGAGAAGAGAAGCCTTTGGGGCACAGTCTCGTGCTTCTTCAGATTCACCAAGGCTGCCTGACACTCCAAAAGTGGATGGGGTGTCCTGCACAAGTAGCCTTGGTGAGACAGCAAAGCTGAGCAGGGTGCACTCCGCCCATTCAGCCTCTGCTGTCATTCCTCCGGTTTTGGAACATCAGGTGAAGGCGGCTTGGCGGCCCAGCTGGTAGGGGGGAAAGAGAACTGGGACATGTAAGTGGTAGGCTGGCATGCACACACAGATCCACTCCTGCAAGAGAGAAGCCATTGGGACGTCACTCATGTGAGCTGGGCTGTGAGTACCAGTACTTGGTGCTCGCCACACACATGGGACTGTGCTAGTATGCGCCGGCCCACCACTCACATGGGCCAGTTGTGAATAGGACGCGACCTAGTAGTAGGCTGCAGCCCACAGGTAGGAGACTCCTGGTATAGAACATTTATGAAAACAAAAAGTATATATAGATAGCAAAGATAAATTGCTGTTGATTGGTGGACCTAGCTGGAATGCATATAAATAAATTCATTATGTTGTATGCAAAGTACATTACATTTTAAAGCTATTTCTTAATTTGATTTTGTTGACTTTGTAGGTTGCTCAGTATTTGAAAATGGGAAAGAAAAAGAAACTAAAATTGCAAGGCAAGAAAAGCAAAAAATTAGCTAAAAATCTTCTTAAGGCACCTGACAACAGAAATAATGTTTCCCTTTGGCAACTGTATGCTTACCTAGAGTGGCTACTTGGCAATATAGAAGATGCTAGAAAAGTTTTTGATACATCTTTGGGGATGGCTGGAATTAGTGGAATTCAAAACCCCCAATTTTGTCATCTTAGCCTTCTTTATGCTAAACTGGAAGCAGAATTACTAGTAAATCTAGAAGGAGCTGTAGAATCACGTGCAACGTACATATTGACCAAGCTGGCTGAAAGGGGACATTATGTTCCTTATCATGGACAAGTATCATCGGTGAATGTTCTGAAAGCTCGGAAAATGTATGAGCACCTACTTCAAGATTGTTTAACTGAAAATCTCACTTCTGATCAAGAACATGTTAATGGTTCCAGCCATCTTATTGGTTTGGTTGGTTGTTACACTCTTTTCCAATATTTAACTCTTGGGATTGACTCTGCAATGTCAGTATTCTGTCAGGTTTCTCAAAAGCTGAAAGACAAGGATCCTGGAGAAAGGCTTAGTGGTCAACATTTCACAACACCTCTTGAAGCCCTCTCCCTCATGCATGTAAGCTTGCTCAAGTTCCACATAAAAATCAGTGTGTATCCTTTGAGTCCTCTTCGTGAAGTACTGTTGGAGGTTTTAAAGAGATATCCCAGCAACCAGTCTTTTTGGAGCTCATACATCCAGATCCAAAGCAAGTCCCACAATGTTAGCAAAGCCCGACGGTTTTTTGATGCTGTTACAAGAACTACACAATCGCTGGAGCCTTGGCTGTTTGCAATCCAGCTGGAGCAAATGAGGAAAAAACTAATTGAAATGGTCCAGAGGTAATGTCATCTCTATAATGATGGTCAGGTCAGTTGGAGAAGAGCTATGAAATAGAAAAGGTGTTTTGTTTTGAACCTGAAACAACTGCACTCTGTCAGCCAGTTGTTTCAGGTAGGATGACTGAAACTAAGGAACTTAGTTGTTCCCAGTTTCTGCCAAGACAAATTCTGGAAAAGTTTTGCCTCCACTGCCATCCTTGGATTTAAGCAGAACCCACCCGTTCACCTAGCCTTGGGATGGTCAGTTGTGTTGAATATGCTCCACTTGAATCCAATGCAGTGGCACCTCAGGGAGATGAACAATGGGCAAGCAAAGGATGGCATACGTTAGCTCTAGCATATCCAATTAGCACAGTTTATCTTAACTGGTCCAGTCAGCAGTTCTGTTCTTACCTTTGTTGTTTAGTTGTCTTTCTTCCTCTTATGAGCTGATGACTAGCTTTTTCCCCACTGCAGTCATTGCCAAAATAAAGTTGTTATACATACAAAATGAAAGTATGAACACGAAAAATAAATGTTAAATATAAAGCGAGATATCCTATGCAGTTCATCTTGGAGCCCCCAGGAGAACCTTAGTCACATAGAATCATGTTGCCCAGTGTTTCCTATATGCTGATGAAGACTCTTGATCCTCTTGTGACCATTCAGTTTTTGCTTTTCTCCAGGGAGCCGACAGGAGATATGTATGCAACCATTCCTGAAATTGGGTTAACAAATCGAATCAAAGCTTTATTTGAACATGCAATTCAGACTGAAAACGGGGCTCATTGCCCATTGCTCTGGAGGTTGTATATATGCTTCATGGTGAGTGCATCAACATTTGCCTTGCGTTGTCTAATCCTGTAGGTAACCTCTGAATATATTATTGATTAAAAGCTTTTAGAACGGTAGATTTTACAACTGGTTTTATGCCTATGAGTGCAGTGGAAGTATGTGGATTGCAAAATCACTGTAGAAAGTTGTTTATGTATTAAATATATTTGCTTTGATATTTTGTCTCGTCTTTGTTAAAGTAAGGTAAGGGACACTAAGCTTGTCAGCTAGAAAGCTGATGGCCCCAAGTGCTGGGGGATAGAGTGACCCAAGTGCTGGGGGATGGAGTTCCTGTCCTTGCCCCAGCTTCTTCCAAGCCAGCAGTTTGGAAGCATGCAAATGCGAGTAGATAAATAGGTACCACTTGGTGGGAAGGTAACAGCATTCTGTGTGCTTTGGCCTGTAGTCATGTTGACTACGTGATCATGGAAAATGTCTTTGGACAACGCTGGCTTCTTCAGCTAAGAAACAGATGAGAGTCAGAAATGATTGGGCAGGGAAAATCTTTACTTTAAGTGAATCTATAATTTTCCATTAATTTCCCATATTATTCCTAGACCTAGGAACAGATTGCCAGGAAGCAATTAATTGTAAAAGAAAAAAAAAGAACATTTGCTTCTTCATCTCTGAAAGCAAATATTAGATTGTCATTTTATTTATGTACTTATACAATAGTGAGATTTGTACATTCTTCCTTTACCAATTACAATTCCAGTAATTGATAGAGCAGGGATGGATAGCCGGTGGGCCATGTGCAGCCTTTCTCAGTAGCCCAAAATTGTGCTGTCCAAATCACAATTCCAGCTGTGCAGTATTAGGTTTAAATTTAAGTGTAGAAATGAGGACCTGGCCTTTCACTCTGATTTTTTTTTCTTTACTTCCCCAAATGTAGGTATTTGTGGCCTGATTTCAGCCTTAAATTGTTTTAAGTTAGGGTAGGACAAACCATCCCATCCTCTTAGAACCTTCAGATTCTCAAAATGAGAATTTAGATCTGTCTTTTGGGGAGTGGGATTAGGGCAATTTTAAAGATGGTTATGGGTATTTTACTTTCTACCAGAGGTTTCCTAATCCACACTTAAAATCCTGGTTACACCATAAAAGCTCAGTCTAGTTCCTGATATTGTGGGATTATTTCCTGCTGCACCCATTTGGAAGGTGAGGAAGTCAAATTGCATTCCTTATCACAACTGCTATCAGGCCAGAGAAGGTTGTTAAGGGCAACTCATTACAATATGAATGAGCCTTAGCAAACAGATTGTTTCCTTGCCCTTTTTCTGGACCATCTGCAGGGAGCATTTTGAAAAGTTTCACTTCCCTTTTGTTGATCACAACTTGTTACGTTTGTTCATTTCTTCTTCTTTTTTAATCTCTAAACTAAAATATATATACTGTAACTCATAGCTTTTCTAAACAATTGCTCTTTTAAAGTGCAGCTTCTTTTCTTTTCCCTTTGCAGGTTTCTTTGGGAGATAAGGCAAAAAGTAAAGGCATATTTTACAGAGCGCTTCAAAACTGTCCCTGGGCAAAAGTAGGTTTCCTTACTTTGTAATAATAATACAATTCCCCCTCCCCCCCAAAAAACCCTACCATTTTTATGTTTCATTGATTTTAAGGTCTTCGTGGTGACCACCCAGAATTGTTGAGTCAGGGAGCATACAAGTTTGAAAAACCATTGTATTAATAACATTAATAATGTGTTAAAGTATATTGTGAATTTAAAATAGCAAGGAATAAAAATTATGGGGAGTTCGAAATATATTCCCGGGATTCAGGGGTAGGTTTCTGCTGGTGTTACTGCTGGTTCGGTGCTCCCCGCGTGTGCACAGTTGCCTTTAAACAGTCTGCACATGCACAGAACATTAAAAATGTCAAAAAAACATGAAGCGGCAACCGGGGAATCAGTTCGGGGGCATGACGATCCTACTATTCCTACCGGTTTGGCGATCCAGTCATTTCCAGTACTGGTTCGCCTGAACCGGTGCAAACTGGTAGCAAACCACCTCTGCCAGGATTGATTAAATATTGTTAATAATTGGCATTATTAGCAACCCTACACACTCAGGACATTGAAGTTATGGTGGAATATTGAGTAATTTTAAAAACTATTAAATGAATTACTTAGCAGGGGATAATAATTATAGGGCAAAAAGAAATGTTATTTATATTTAAATGAACTATTGGAAAAATGATAAAGGATTGTGGAAAGAGATCAATATTGTTGAAGTTGAAAGATTTGAAGTATATATATTTATTCATATTACTATTGTTTTAAGTGGCTTAAAAAAGTCTTGACCCAGTCAATGTACCGTCCATTAAATATGAATGTTTATACTGGAAAAAATAAAAAATATATATAAAAAGTTTGATAAATCATTGTTTTATACTTGTTCTTTAGGTGAAAACTAGGTTTGACTTATCATAGCAGTGAGGTGAGTTGATAATTTTTTTATTGATCTCTGTATAGGTATTATATATGGATGCTATGGAATACTTTCCAGATGAGCTGCAAGAGATCCTCGATCTAATGGCTGAGAAAGAACTGCGAGTACGGGTACCAATAGAAGAATTGGAGCTGCTGCTTGAAGACTGAAGAAAGATATGAAGACAAATGATCAGTGTGTTGGTTTAATGAGACTTCAATAAAGCTAGGGAGAAAATGTTTGTGACTAATTTAGCATCTGTAAAAATGTAGAGATTAAGAGTTTTATTTTTTTATCCAAACATGTATTCCGTTAAGTGCAGATATGGGTAAGGCTTTTAAGTAATACTCATAACTGCCTCATTGCTAAAAAATACTAGTCCAGATATATAAGCCAAATACATCTAGAATAAAGTACAGTTGAATGGGAAGTTGTTTGCTTCCAGTTGATTCAGATTTTATGGATGAATGTTTATTCAAGATTGAAACACCTTGGAATTGTACAGATTGTTTAAGCTTGTAGAAGTATGCAGCAATTTGACAGTTTAGAAGAAATTTTTAATTAATGAAGACACCTGTAACTGAATTTTTATCAGTTTATTGTGACCCAGGGGCAGGGAAATGTAAATATCTTTGTAAACATAATTACAAATGTTATGTTGGAATGTGGACTCTTTTAAAAATGTTTTGTGTTTTGATTTGTCCTTCATTGCTATATTGAAATTTATTGTTCATTGACGTACAAGAAGAAAAAAATGATTTTTCAAAAATACTGTGTGGAACTGTTGCAATTAGCTTATATAGGCTGTTGCTGAAATAGGTTGAAATAACAAACATTAAAACAAAGCATGCATATGGATTCTAACATTTAAAGCTTTGCTGTTTACAATTATATATCTGTCTTCTTTAGTTAATGTTTACAGATTTTAAAAATGTAGAAGTGTAGCAAACGTAATCACAATGGGAGAAAATTCTAAAAGTTTGTAGGGAAGGGCACTTGGAATACAGTAACTTATATTGCACTGATTAGTGCTTTCAGTCAGTGTGTCTGGGCACTGCTGATGTTAGTAGATTATAGTTTATATTGAAGCAGTGTTTGTCTGTGGTGGTGTGAAGTTGTGCTGGCACAATGGTTAGAATGCACTATTGCATGCCAACTCTGCCCACAGCCAAGAGATTGATCCTGACTGGTTCATGATTGATTCATCCTTTTGTGGTTGGTAAAATGAGAACCCTGATTGTTGGGGCCAATAGGCTGACTGTAAACTGCTCAGAAAATGTTGTAAAGCACTATGGAGTGATATAAATCTAAATGCTGTTTACTCACAGCAGCAGTGGCTTTCAGTGGCTTGATCTAAAACGTACAAGGGCTTTTAGATTCAGCCTAGCCAGAGAGCATTTTTAATTTAAAGCAGCATCCGGTAGATAGTAGCGCTGATGAGCCATACTTGTTCTGATACAAGTGTGGATGTCCCATACAGATAGGCTCAAGGCTGAACAAAGTCACCATATTAGTTAACGGGTGGGGAGACATTGAAAGGTTTTGCCACTGCCTCCTTCCTAGGGATTAGTGATCGGCCCAAGGCCACCCAGCTGGCTTAATTCCCAATGCGGGACCAGAACACACACACACACTCTCTCTCTCTCTCACTCTCTCACTCACTCACTCACTCACTTACTTTCCCTTACTTCATCTCTCTTAGAGTATTTAAAAGTATTAAATTTTCCAGAAAAAGGAAATCTCTTCCACATTATAGGCTACTAGCTTCTTATTTCCAGGTAAGATGAGAGCAGCACCATGTGCTCAAGGTTAGGGAAATCCAAAAATAACAGTTAATTTGAAATTAATCCTCCATTACAGCTTTCAGCTCAGTGAATAATTGAGGGCAGCTCCAGCCAGCCTGTTTTACCGCTGTACAGATGCTTGTCTGTCCATTATATGAATGCTGAGCAATGCCAAGTCTTCCCTGATTTTGTACAGAGACTCTGGCCCCTTCAATAACAAGCCTGGGAACTCTTTTTTTAAAAAAAATCATCACTCGAGCGCAATGGGGAACTTTCACATGCTATTGGAGTCACAGTAGAAATTTCATATACCCACGCATTGAAACAACTCTGCTTTGAATAGTCCAAATCTTCTGAGTATATTTTAGATTTATAACCACAATAAAATACAGTGATTGTTCACCGTATTGAAAAGAGGAACAAACTGAAACTTTTGGTTAATTATTCATTATCCTGAGAAACCATTTCTGCAAGGTACAATTAAAACTAACTTGCATGCTGTTGATAGTTAATCTGGTGAAAATATTCATTCAGGCTGTCATAAAACACTAACAGGACCACAGAAAAGCCAAAATAATATTCCCAAAGACGTTATTTCGTGGGACAGGGAGTTTGCTTCACCCACTAAGGTTTTTTTTAGAGCGTTCTAGAAAGTACACACTTGTGAACATTTCATCTGCTTGGAAAAGTGCTGGCATGATATATTATCTGGGCTTTTTGACTTGTAAATAATTCATAAAACCAATCAAGCACCTACATTCAAGTTAAACTCAAATTCAGAAATGCATTTGGCACCTATAAATAATTTGGGTTACACATAATAATGATACTGCCAAAGTTAAACAGTTCAATCTGTTCAGCTGTATTCACAGCCAAAGAAACTTGAGCACTGAAGGAATCTCTGGCATTTGACCCAGTTACGCTGGTTTAAACTTGCAATGTGGATATCAGCTTATACATCTGCTACAAATATATGCAAACAAGATATTTTTTAACTATTTACTAAGCTTCTACTCCTGCAACTTTTTAGAAAGCAAATTAGTGAGATTGCTTCCATCATGACCTCATTTTCCCAGACACAGTATCACCTAGATAAGGAGATTTTAAAATAAATTACAGACGTACAATCACTTGTCTTTAAAGCATGGCTCTGGGGCACCTAGATTTTCCTGGCAAGATAAGGCTAGGAGCTGGATATTTATAGCAGGGCAGTTCTTTTACAAAAACAGAGACATTAAAGGTGGGTTGAGCAGATATTCTAGGAATAGTCAAGTGGGCATCAATGGGCACCAACCTTTGTACTAGAAAAAAGGGCAAAGAGATCTGTGGCCAGGAAGCCCACAATCAAATTTATCTGAAATCTAATTGGCAAAAGAGCACCTATTTATAACTGTTTATAATACTCTACTGCCAACATTTATTTCTGGTCCCCATATTGACACAGGCTGCCTTGTTGAGCTTGACATAGTATGTAAGCAACATTGGTCTTACATGGTTTAAATCATTCATGTCAGCCATGAGAATTCCCCCTTAGGCTTACAACATTCTTCATTCAGAAACAGGGCATCTGTTATATTTTATCTACTGTATGACAAGACATGAATATGGCTTCAATTGTTTTGAATAATTCATACATAACATTGGTGTGCTGAACAGCCTGCTACACTTTCATTTTAGTTTTCAACTTGCTTTTACATTGCCTAAAGGGAAAAAGAACTTTGCCCATGATACCCACTACCATCAGCAACAGAGAATTGAACTACCAAGGATTTACTATTCATCTAAAGCAGAATAATTCAACCTGATGAATTTCTACTGTTGTACTATAAAACCCATTCCAAGCAAGCCTGGTAAAATAGGAAACAGATTTAAGGCTACCACTCTCAGTGAAAAATCAGATTATATAGCCCTGTATTTGGAAAGGGCTCTGGGCAAGGTTATGCATTGCTTAACTACTAGCAAATCTTTTAAATACCAAAATGAATAAGCAGAATTGGTACCAACACAAATTCCATTTATATCTTGAAGGAAAGGACGGATTTTTTCATTTTTCACTTCATTAAATCCATGAAGCTTCTTTTGGAGCATACAAAGTATCCCAAACATAATGCAAAAAGCATCATTTTAATGGTATACAAGAACCTCCCAATACTGAATTTGTCCTGCCAGTTTGTCATTGGTAAAATGGAAATGCATGCTAACAGGGGTGGACAATTAATTTTCCCAAGGGGCCACATGAGAAACTGGCTGAACCAATGTAACTTGATTTGATGTCCTCAAACTCCCTCACCTCAACTCCTCAGGTTGCTCCAGGCAAAGGGTGAGCGCTGTGCTGGCGTAGAAAAGCACTTTCTTCTTGCCCTCCAATGGCTGCCAGGTAACTGCATGGTTACTATGCAGTGCTGAATCTGACTTGGCTTCTTCTGCTCTCTGCGGTACACGTATTTACATTTGATTTCTAATTTCTGATTGACCTCATGGGTCAGAGAGGAAGAGCTAAGGAGCTGGATGTAGCCTGGGGGATGTAAATGCCCTCTGCATTAGAATAAAACTTTATGAACTGAGCTGGGAGTTTAATCAGAATATCTCATTTAAAGATAGAATGGACGTTTAATTTTCCATAATTAAATTTATTTCCATAATTTTATATTTCCTTGTCAAATTTGGAAAACTTTCTCATATATAATGGCTACTTTCACTTCTTTGAACAAATTGTGATTATCTTACTTGCATGAACTGAATCAGCACAACTTGACTATAGAAGTGGAAGGAATTGGCTTGGTTTTTAAAGATGATTTACCTTATTTGTCCAAATAACTTTGGCAATGAAATCTCATTGCTTATTATGTATGTGTGATTTGGCAAACCATAGCCTTAGGGGACTGAGAACTAAATGAAATGAAACAAGAGTCTTCAGACATCAAAACCATTTTCACTGTAGACAGCAGTTCTGTTTCAAAACTTTCTTTCTGATAGCTGCATGAATTTTCCATGAATCTGGTACTTTTGCAGTATTTCCATCACTATATTTTTCAGTACCTTTTTGGATATATGTGTAAATCCAATGAACGTATATTCAGCTGCACTTCAGACTAAGTGTCACAACCAATTACAGAACATTTGCAGAGTCTGCTAAAAATGTCAATTTGTAGACTAAGAGGCAACAGAACACCTGGGGCACATTAAAAACCCTTCTTTGCTTATATTTTAATCCAATCATCCCAATTCACTTGGAAATCAATTTTTAATGACAAAGTATTTCACAATGAATGTATGCCACAATACAGAGACATTCACAATAAGTGAATGATCATACTTTCAGCAGGAAAAGCTTCTTTTTGTATTCAATAACACCTTGCTCACTAATGCCATTTCCACATTCTGAAGAGAAAAAAAAGGTTCAAGCAATTAACCCCAACCTAGGACCAAAACAAAGGTGGGGAAGTTAAAGGTAGAGGCCTTCTGGAGTGCCTTCCTGTTTCTTATAAAGAACATTTTCTTTTGATTTTTTGAAGTCTTCGTTTGTTACTTTCATTCTTCGTTCACGCAGAGCCATCAAACCAGCTTCCGTGCAAATGGCCTGTTAGAAATGAAAGCATTTGATTAGAAAATCAGGAGTCTGATTTGCATGAAGTGCTAAGAACCAGTAATGTTCAAACAAGCTGGTAGTCCTTATGTATGCTAGAAACCATAAAGTAGAGAGAACAGCATTAAATATTAATTAGAAAAAAATAATTACTAATATTAGATAATTTTATCCTCCCTGATTGTAACTCTCCTGAAAGAGTGTAACATGCTAGTCACAACAGTGGCCAATCACATTTAATAGATGTATAGGCAAACTTCCCTAGCTACCAATATTCCTAGTGAAAATATCCCCACCAATTCTTTACAGGTTTTTTTACATCAAGTGTGCAACTCTCATGACAGGTGGCCAAATGTTCATTTTCTTTTCCATTAATGATTTTTCCCCTCCCAACAATGA